TAATAAATAGCTGAAGTTATAAGTTCCATTTTTATATCATCAATAGGGACACATATTGCTACTGCAAAAATCTCTTGGCTAAGCGCCAGTTTTTAGAGTTTTCAATTTTTCATTTCTTTTGAAGAACTTGTTGTGATTTACTTTATATTGTGATGTTTAAAATGGCTTTAATTTCTTTAATATGATTTAACCACAATTAAAGAACAATAAAGAATCACCAAATGAATTTGAAGCATAACCATTTAAATCTAAACTTCCTTAATCATCAAGTTGGTATTGATTTAATCGTCTGATATAGTAATTTGTAACTCTTCTCGTCATTTCTTGCATTATTTGTTATGTTATATTTGCCGATCCTACAGATAGTATTGATGATAAATAGTGCTTGTATAGTTCCTTTAATACTATTTCTATATCGTTTTTCATTGCCGGTAATTTCCCTTGGAGAAAGGGAATTGATAAAGAAATGACAGAAGCGCACTACACATGAAATGATATATGCAGAAAAGCACCTAAGTGCAGTTTAAGAGAATAGTTACGGTCCTATGTCCCATTAGGGGTAACGGACACTAAGAAGAAGAATGTTATTCTACTATTTCCACTATCTTAATCGTATCGCACCTATCCTGTTTACAGTTTAGTCAAGTTTGTAAGTCAAGTTTGAAAGATTTTATTGATGACTGACAATAATGGTATAGCTTACTTTGTCGTTGTTGATTTATTAAACTATAATAGTTGTAGTTAGTTAAGTAAATGGTTTTGAAAGATTTTATTGATAATTGTTCTAAAAATTGTTTAAAAAGAACGAAACTTTTTATTGTTTCTTAAAAGGTCAACTACTACCGAAAGATTCATCTAAAATGTCTTTATTTAACATTTTATTATTTTTTACGATTATTTTCCTCACATTTGGCCAAAACAGTTGTTGACAACTTTTGTTCTGTTGAAACATGAGTTAAAAAAAAAAATTAAAGAGAAAAATAAAAATCAAAAGTTTTTCATTTTTCTACTGTCACAAGTTCGTGTCAAATTTCCACTTTTCATTTTTTATATCTTTTTTTCACTTTTTTACGGTCATTGTGTATCTGTTGTTTGTGGTAGTACTTTTGTTTTCTTTGTTCACACAATCCATTCATATGTTACTGGTATGTCAAAAGATATTTGTTCCAAGACTTATTGTTGTGTCTCTCGATTGTCGGCAAGTTTTCACAATAACCGAAGTCAAATGTCCTCCCTCTCCTCTTCAAAAATATTTCAACTATTTTTCTATATTTCAATTATTTGACTTATGAACACATTTGCCTTTAAAGAAAAGCGTGCCAATGCACTGCTTCGCAATATTAACTTTTCACATTGGTTTAAAAACCATGAAGCCATTCGGAACTGTGTAAATATTGCCAGCGTTATCTTCTCACAGACTTCTAAGTAATTGCTTAATGCTTAATCATAGCAGTGCAAATAATTGCAATTTAAATATTAAAATATTCCCGACAATAAACCATAATAACCACAGTCAGATATACACTGGCTTGGCTGCCAGGCAATCCATTACGAAATACTTTTGTGATTGTGAAGTTTTATCACGTTATTGGCTTTATCTTTATTGGTATTTGAATTTGTATTTATACATATTTTGTTGACTTATCTCTGAGTTTACATTGTTTGCTTGGCTTGTAATTGCAATTTCATAGTTGAGTCATTTGGTTAGAGTTCACTTTGGTAATGGCGATATTCGTTCGTGTAAATTTTATTTATCCCTAGAAAATTTCACATATGTACTTTAAATCTATATAAAATGTTGCTGCTGTTTCGAGCTGTTTTTAAAAGTTAAAGTTTAATGCGAGAAAATTTAATTTCAACTTGACACACGATTTTGACAACAATTCAGTGACAATAAAACAACAACAAAAATAACATCAACAACTGACACTGCATCAGCAATATAAAAATAAATGACAGCAACGTGACATGTTTCAATAATGATTTTACAACTGCAACAAATTCGAATATAAGCTAACAACTAGAAATAAAAGATACTCACATGTATGAAATAAAAAAACTTTTTTATATTCTAACAAAATTTTTATCTTTTTTAAAAAGTACTAAAAAGGTTTTTAAATTTTATTTCACTTTTTACACCCTTACACCCACCAATTATAAAAAAGGGTATATTAAAATTGTTAAATTACTTGTATTACATTGAAGAAGATATTGGAGCTTAGATGAAATTCATACAATTGTGATTACTTCATAAATTACAACAACGATGTCAGTCTGGAAATTAGACGAATACTTATCATTACCTAAAAGTGGTATTATGAGCAATGCCGAGGTCTCTCTTGATAAAACTTAGACTTTACAGATTGTTTGATCTATCTGTAGTTCTGTATAGCCCAGAGGAATGAATATTGTTAAAAAATGAACAGTTAGTCTTGGAAAAAAAAGTTTTTCCTAAGATCTTTGGTCCTCTACGAATACACATACTTTCAGTTCTTGAGCTGGGCACAGCTTATCATTACTTAAAAGTGCTTTTATGAGTTAGTAGCAATTGCGATGCCGAGATATTTTTTGATAAAATTTACATTATGCAGTACTGAAACGATCAGTATATCAAACGAGAAATAGATGCTATTACTTAACGAAGAAATATGTTCGTAAGAAAAATTTTTCTTCTTCTTTGAACTTCTACAGATATATATATTTTCAGCTCTTAAGCTAGGTTTTGAATTTCGATCCTAAATGTATTTCAGCTCTTAAATTTTACAGATCATTATGGCTCTCTAACAGAAGTTCTCGTTCCTTTTCTCAAGCCTCTCTTAAAGAGAGTCTGCACTATAAGGTGCGTGAATAAATACTTCCCAGCCAAACTTCCGGAGTTTTTGGCGAGTAATTGTCAATGTGTGTGACCTGGCGTTATCCTAAGAGAACAAAATTCCTCTTCTTTTACTCAAAGCTGACAGTTTTTGATAACTGTCCTTCAGACAGTCCAATTATTAATAGTGCAATTCCTCATAGATGATGATTCCCTACCAATCCCATCAAATACACAGCAAAACCTTCCTTCCATGATTGATTGTTACAGTATCAGGACCATAAACACTATTCACATTTCAGTCGCCTGAGTGGCGTTTTCGCCTTTATCAAAGAAAAACTGTAAAATATGGCGTATTTTCTCTTTGCTAGTCCATTTTTGACGCGCAGTCAAACAAACTTTAATCAACCATTTACCAAAGTGTCAAAGTTTTTTTTATTACGAAATATCATCTCTTTAACACAATCTAGTATAACCCGATCGGACTTATACAATGTGGGATATAGATAACTACAGCTATCTAATGGGAAAATACTAGATGTCTTTTTACTATACCATATACTAGCATAGGTTTTCCATGATGTACGATTTCATTTAATATATGGATTTATTTCTGCTACTACGTTATATGGTTTTGCCAGTTTTTGATGTATTATATTCGGGCCCGTATTATGGCCAGATATATTTGTTTGCATCTAGAGAGTTGCTTCCAATAAATTATGTAATTAAAAATCACTCTAATGGGGTTCATAACAATCACAACTACACATTTAGTTCTAAACATACTAAATATTTAGGAAAAGACTGTAAATTGTGGCGTGAAATTTAATAAATATTAACAAATCAAAATAGTACAATAATATAATTAATATAACAATTTAAAAATAAATCAATATTCTTGCAGTTGTGAATAAAAAAAGAAGATAAATAAATGTGCCACTAAAATTATGTGAGTTTATCTAAAAAATCTGATAAAAATATAATACTGTGATAATACTGTGTATCGTGACAGCTACATTATATAAACATAAATAAATGCAGCCAATACAAATCCCATAATAAAGGCCAGGCTCTGTTTAAAAATATTTTGTTGCAATGTTTGAATAAATCGATGTCTTGCCTCATCATCATCAAATGTATTATTAGTACATTCAGTTTCTAGATGACGTAAAGTCGATCGAACAATGCGTGGTAAAAAGCTGCTGAAGGTCCTTGTCAAGTAATTCTCATTACTTTGGCTTTCAACATATTCACAATCTGTAGGATATTTCTGTTGAGCATTAAAAGTAGTGGATTCACGTCTACGTGTTGTGACATATGGATGATGCCCTTTGGTAATATATTCTGGATTTGTTGTAGTTGCTTCAGTTATATTTGGGCGTAATATATTTAGTTTAAGGATTTGTGGTTTTTTCGCAGGTGTCGTGTAATCAAACTGTATTTTGGATGATGAAACAGAACCGAACTTCAAATCACTTAGATATTTCAAAGGGGTTGAGTTACTATGACTACTGCAAAAAAACTGTGAGTTTGAATATTTCGAATCTGTTTTAACTTACCTTATATTTTTTGAGGAAGAATTGATATATTTCTGTGCATCAAAATCATGGAGGTAAGTTTGTATTGATTTCTGCACTTTAAGTTCAATTTTCGGTTTCTCTTCAAGTGGATCATTAGAGAAATTTTGAGTTATGGTCCCAGAATTATATTTACTTTTAAGAGATTCGATTCTTTCCACACGACGTGCTTGAGCATCTTTATTGTTTCTAATATCATAACTTTCAATTAATTTTCCTCGTAATGATGCTTCTTGGTGATAGGAAGTTGTTAAAACTGCCGACTTAGTTAGGGAGACGGAACCTTTTAAAATTTTAAAACCTTGTGATTTCACATCTTCACCTATATCTGGATGAGCTTTATAGAAAGTATTAAGTTTCGATCTTGAGCCTAAGTGATCATGTGATTTCGCATCTTCGTTAATAATTGGTTTAACGTAAATATTATTGAATGTTTTGAATTTCGATCCTGAATGTATCAAACCATGTAATTTTTCATTAACGTTGGAAGTATTGATTGTATGGAGTTTAGATCCTGCAGTTGGGATGGTTGTCATAATGTGTTCATAGGATCCTTGGTTGACTTTTTGATTAATAACACTTAAAGCTGTTCCAGTATGATTATGTTGCAAAGTATTAAATGTGAAAACATTGTCTTCAGTGTTATTGTTGCTTGTTGACACAGGGAACTTGTTGTTACTTAAGTCGGGAACTTGCTTTTCATTATTGCTTATCTTTGTTTTAGTTAGAGTTGATTCGTGTATATTGTCACGATCTGTTGTTGTGTCTTGTATTTTTGATTTATTTTCAGATGTTCGATAAAAATCTTTGGATTTAGTGTTTGTGGTGGTTGTTTTAATGTGTTGATTAAATGCTTTGTCGTCTTTGTGAACATTAGTAGTTACACCTGTGTTAGCCTGACTATGTTGGAAATTAAAAAAATTGAATACATAGTCGTCAGTGTTATTTTTTGCTGTTGACACAGGCTTGCTACCTAAATCAGATGCTTGTACTGTAGTATTGCTTATCTTCGATTGATTTAGTTTAATAGGAGTTGATTCGTGTAATATGTCACGATCTGCTGTTCTTTGTTGAACTATGGATTTATTCTTAGATGTGCCATAGATCTTAGATGCTAAAAACACATGGTCTTTAGTGTTATTATTTTTTTCTGTTGGCATACAGTTGCTACTTAAGTCGGATTCTTGTTTCGTAGTATTAGTTATTTTGATTTGATTTGTTTTAGTAGCAGTCGATACATAAGGTAGTTTGGATTCATCCTTGGATGTTCCATAGAATCCTTTGGACCCTATGGTTGTTATAATTTGTTCATGGGATCCTTTCTTGTCTTTTTCTTTTCTTTTTAAATCTGCGTTAATATGTTCATCTTGCAAAGTATTGAAAGTGAACCCATTGTTTTCAGTGCTTTTTGTTGCTGTTACCACAGAATTGTTACTTATGTCAGATACTAGATCTGTGGTGTTGCTTATCTTTGTGTGATTTGTTTTTGTAGGGATCGATGTACGCAGTCTGTCATGATCTCTTGCTGTTGTCTCTTGTACTTTGGATACATTCTTAGATGTTTCGGAGAAAGCAGCGCGCAATCTTTTTAAAATAATGCCTCGACTGCTGTTTGTAACAGGTATATTTGACAGTCCATATTCTGTACATTTTGTGTATAACTCCTTATTACTTAATGTATCAAAATTGTCGACTGACATTTTTGTAAGAAAGTTTTTAATGATATTCCTTGTAGAGTCCTATAATTTGTAATTAAGACTACGTTATTTCTCTATTATATTTATAGCAAATTTAATTTTAATGTTAATTCGTTGGTTTATTCAATAACACTAAATTTTATCCAATATGTTTTTACGTTATAAAATTAAAATTTTTTTTTTTGAAAAATTTTACAGTGCTAGAAAATTATAACAATGCTAATTAGATTCAATATTTTACTATAAATTAAATTTAAAAATCTAAGTTTTTTAAATTTTTGATTATAGAATATATTCTGCAGATCTTAGATCAGTCATCGAATAAGCAGCGAAACTTATAAGGAACACTCATATGTCAAAAAAAAGGGAAAGACTCTGTAGAAATCTCCCAGCTAACAAAGAGTAAAAGTGCCCGGTTGTACTAATTCGGAAAAACCTCAACATAAGATAAGAATATCTTCTATAACCTTACTAAAATTCTCGATAAATAAATGAAGTTTTGATTATAAATTTGAATAAATTGTATCAAGAAACATATTTCAATGAAACTTTAAAGGAATGACCAATACGAACAATGTATAATCTGGAATATCCAATTCATTTGCAATAATTTAACCAGAAAGTTCACAATAGAATTGTTTGAGCTATGTTAGGTAATATAAGACACACCTATTTGATTAAAATTATATTTTATCAAAAAGAAAAATATGTTTTTTATTGAAGAAGTAATACATAAAGTATTACGCTTTAACAATTTTCAGACTTAACATATTTCGATAAGGATTAATTATAGAACTCTTAACTAAATATGCTACTTTTAATTATCACTGTGCCAATATGGAACTAGAGAGCATTACCACCTGCTGTTTTTTAAATGCAAAGTGAAGTTTACGCTCATCTCATCTGTTCGTATTTCACCCGTATTTCCATATAGATTTTTTTGAAGTAAATAAGATATGGGATCTTGGACCAAGAGATATTATTAAATTTGTTAATAACTGCACGTTTTCCGAGTTTTGTTAGGAAAGTCCTGAATAACTGGGATAGTCAATATATTTTAAAGTTCTCAGTGCACAATTGTACGTTTTATTAATATTACATTTAGTACTTGAAATTCAAATATATTCCATCAAGATAGTCGTCAAAATAGAAGATGTTCTCTGGAAATACTTTAAATTTTAATAATTATTAAATATAAATTTAATTCATTATAACTTATTTCTAATAATATAATAATTTTTTATAGTAAATTATAATATATACACAAATAAGTGTGAACATGCATACAGAAATATTGTAAACAAATAAGAGGATAATACTGGATAATATATATGCATTTCTGTTGTATTTGTTTTTATATATTTGGTTTTTTCCTTCTATTCATTACACAGATTTACAAATGTTATATGTTGTTAGAACTCCGAAGATGAATATCAGAGACATCAAATATTGAAAAATACTATAAAATAAAATACTATTAAAATAATTCTGTAGTAGTATTTTAAATAAATGAGTTTTATTATTAATACACACAAAATATGAATATGAAATATAAGTCTTCAAACAGGAACAGCTACAAAAAATTGATTAATTTATTAAAATTTGATTCTAAATCTGACACTTGCAAATTAAAAACGAACTATAAACTAATTAAATAAAACTTCGAACATTTCGTAAAATCACTAATGGTGAGTACTTGGCAATACTTGATACAAATACAAATTTCAATAACTGAATCAAATTTTTGTGTTTGTTTCTTCATTACTGTTCGAACCCTTCTAGTTTCTTTTCAATATAAGACGTGTTACATTCGACAGAAGAAAATCAACATTATTAATATATTAATTAAATTTAATTCAAATTTACTGTGCTCTTAATATGAGCCAATATATTATTATATTTTATAATATAATATATTATATATTACATATTGGCTCAATCCTATGAAACTGCTTAATACAATCTCAAAATGTAGCTAACTACATGAGAACAAAAAAAGATAACATCCTACAAAAATATTGCAATGTTTTCGGAAAAGCAAACAGTATTCAGATACACACAGAAAAGGTTTAATTTGTAATAAAGAAACAATGAAAATGGTTAAAGGATGTTTTGCCAAATATCAATTGAAATAAAAACTCAAAGGCAATACATATTGATTCGATTTTATTTTACACATGAAATTGTACGTTTGCTTAGTTGAAGGACTTAACTCTATTTGTTTTCAAACAAAAGAACGGAAATATAATAATTTTTGGAACTATAAAAGTGGTTTAAATAAAATGAAATGATTATAACCAAACAAAGAGAAAACACTTAAAATTGAAAATAAAATTGAAAAAGCCCCTACACACTTATGGGAAGTCAGTTGGCTGGTAAAGAAGGACAGTCAGAAAAAGGATGACATTACAGCCTTTATCAATGTCAAATGTTATTCGCTTTAAATCCTTCTTTGTGTGGATATTATGAACTGATTTAAGGAACCCTAAATGCTTTGGAAAATTTTGCTTTGCTTAGGTTTCGTTTTATAAAAAGTATCTTCTGCGGTTTAGAAAATTATTTCCCCCTTTGCATGTTAACATATTTTTGAATATATTTTTAGAATTCATAATAGTATTTTTTATCGCTTATCACTCACGTTGCCAAAAAAAGGTATCAACGTTATTAGCGAGTGATTATGCTTTCAAATTTTGTTTATCTTTGAAAGTATTATTTATTATTTTTTTATTTTTTTTTGTTAACAGATATATTCGTATCTACTACAGGTTGTGTGCTCAGTTTTAATATACTTTCCCAGACTCGTATACTTTCAAAGGAATTATCGATTTTCAATTTTCTGGCTGTTTTGTTAATGTATATATTTTTGGCAAAAGCTAATTTTTAATATGAAGCTGTGAAAATTAATATTTAAGCTTTTTTTTGTGTTTGATGGAACGGTTTATGTTTATGATTGATAAAATATTCCATAAATTTTTTCTTGTTTATCTTATAATTAACAATTTGACGTTGTTTGTATTTATTATTAAAACATAATAAAATAATAAGTATTAATATTTATATTTGCTAAAAGTTAAAATAATTTTTGTTTTTATTTAAAATTTTTATATAGTTTTATTATTTTATTTTATTATAAATTTTTACAAATATCTAAAAGATTTTATTTTCTTATATATTTTTAAACATATCTGAATGATTATTTTGTTTTCATATTAACAGTATAAATGTGGAACAGTATTTCATATTAGGTTAGATTATAGGTTAGATTATACCGGCGATCCCAGGGGCATCCACTTAGTCCCATAGGCCCATTGTGCTAGTATTTTATATTAAAATTGTTTAAAATTGACGTTGACAACTGTGTTCAGATGTATAAAAGTATTATACATCAATAAACAGGTAGAGAATTAAATAATTTAGTAGTAAGCTTTTATAAAGAAAACTATTTTTCTTTATATATATACATATATGCTTTTGTCCACCATTATATAATAATATGTTGTTTGGTATTCAGTTATAATGTTTAGTTTCTTAATAACGATTTCTAAACACTACAGTCGATAAAAATGTACATGAAATAATTTTTCTCATTTTTTACATTCTTCTTAGTTTTTATTTTTAATAACAATAAAAAAAAATTTAACCAATTGGCCTGCAATTACATTTTATATTAATATTGTGTTCATTTGTATTAAAAAGTTCTTCATATACTGTAACTTCTTTAAAAAATATCAACAGCTCTTATATATGTCGTATATTCAAATGAATAATAATAGTGATAGTTGAATACAATATTATGGTATATAGAAGCACTATTATCATTTTAAAAAAGTATGATCTACTTGTATGAATTATTGATATGTGAACATAATGTTTAAATAAAATATATCTTTACGTAAGCATAGATCTACATAAATGCTAAAATTTTCAAATATTGTATATATTTTTCACTATCTATTTTAATACCTTTGAGTTAAATACGACTGAGGACGTATTAAGTTCCTACCACAGTAAAGAATATACAAAAAATGGTTAATCGGCTCGATGAGTTATAAAGATCTAGTCCACATTGGGATGAAAACAGTTTTAATTGCCGATTTAGTTACATTAGATTTAATAATTTAATATAATTAATTCTTTCGTTCACTATTCATTCATATTTTGTTGATTGTTCAAAAGTTTTTTGTAAACTTATAGAAAACGAACTGTTTAGATGGTGATTGTCTAAATTTTACATCTCATCGGTATATCCTGACAATATTATATATAAGATTGATTTTTTTTTGTCGAGTGTGATGCGTCTTATGAAGAAAAGAAGATTAGAAGGGTTCAAACAGTAATAAAGAAACAACACCAATAACAATTTGATTAATTTGACTTGGTTTGACCATGCTACGCTGTTTCGGATATTATAAAGTTCTAAAGTACTCAACAGATAATTTAGGAAATATTTGAATTTTTATTTAATTAGTTTATAATTCGTATTTAATTTATTGGACTGCTAGTGCGAGCTTTAGAACTCGTGCGTGTCAAATTAGAATCGATGACTAATTATATGTTCCCACAAGTAACCAAGGTTTCACATTATATATATTTTCGTATATTGTTTTTAAATAATAATTTTATATTTAAATTATTGAAATTTAATTATGCAATGATTAAACTATTATTGAGGTATTGTTATAGATATCCGTCGACTTAACAATTTTTTTAGTATTTTTAGTTTTAACATTTACACTATATTTTAATTTGTGGTTTGAATTTATTTTTTATTTCAAGTTACACTTATTGACATTTTTTTATAATTTATTTATATGTTAATTTTTTTTATAATATTATTAAATATTTTTTTTAATGGTTACAAATTCATATAAATTCCAATCCATTGTCAGGTATAAAAATATCACTATCAAAAAAAAATCTATATACAATCTAACAAAGGAGTACACATACCATAACATATATTAAAAATTGAATCCTTTCTAATACCTATAGCAACCTTTTAATATTTATTGTGTATTTCAACCAAAACATTTTTTATCCCATTTTTTTTGTCCATTGAATCTATAGGTACAATTATTTATTTTTGAAATAAAAAAGTATCTCGTGAAAAATTTTTATTTAATTGTTATTGTGCAGG